TCTTGCCCGGAGCTCTTTGCGAGTTTCATTGTGTTCGCTTCCAGCCGGCATATGCCGGTGAGCGTCGATAAGTTGCAGAGACCGCGAAGAGACCTGATATCCATGTTGTCTATTAGACATACTACATGAGGATTTGCCTGCTGCTAGTAAGGTCTGGCGAACATGTGACCAGTGACCATCCATTGTCTCCAGTGAGCGCTTAATCAACTCGCATGTCAACATACTTCGATACACATTCGGAACAACTGGCTTTGTCAGTTGGTTGGTGTCAATGCGCTCACAGCGTCGTGGTGGGCGTCCGCCAAAACACATCTGCAGGTCAGCACATACAAGTGCATGGTCGGTGTCCACACATGTGCTTCAAATCGAGCGACAGTTCTGGATGCAGCCTCTTCAGCGGTAACTGATAGCAATGTGATCGATTTGCGTCCATAGCTGGTTCGAGGCTGGTGGGCGCCAAGTTACCCTCCGGCGGGTGCTGTGTCGGAAGTTAGTGCTCGCAAGAAATAAGTGAGCATCTTCACGCAAATGAAGTAACCACTCACCGTTATTATTACGGGAGCCTACACCGTGCTGACCGCCCAGATCAATTTCATCAGTGGACAACTTTCCAACTTGTGTGTTCAGATTCCCCGCTAGCATAATAGTGTCCGTGCTTCTTCTGTGTCAAAGGAGCTGGGTCAGTTGGCGGTAGAAGTCGTTCTTTACCGAAGCATCGCTACAGTTTGTGGGCGCGTAGGCAGCGATGATGAATAGACACCTATTAGTCCCGCGCGACTTCGAAGTTTTGAACGAGCCAGCCAATCGGACCGCACACATCCGGCTACTGATTGGAATCCAATAAACCAGAAGAGCTTCAGCCCGGGGACTCAGGGCAATACCAATACAGGCTTGGCCGGTGCTCGAAGCTGCACCGGCACAGGATAGATGCAATGAGAAAACACTGCTTGCGTCACTTGAAGGGAATCGCAGAGTGAGCATAGAGCTCGAGTCTTGCAGGCGGGTCTCTGCTAAGCAGCAGATATCGATCGAGAGGGTCTCCAATGTTCGGGCAAGTGCTGCCTGTTGACCGATCTGTAGTAATGTGCGTACATTGAGACATGCAAATCTGAAGGAGGATCGAGGGCTCCAAATGGAAGCCGATGAACTGGAACGGACCACTTGGTTGGACATGGGCTTGTCGACAGGAGAAGAGTGACGCTCCGCGTTAGCATGTGAGTTGAAATTAGAAGGTAAATGCCTAGCAAAGCATGATGGGGGGGCAGAATCAGGGGTTGAAAACTAGGGGGATAAAAGTGAAGTTGGAACGGGACGGTAAGAGTGAAAAAGCGTAGGAAGGGAAATAAGAAGACGGGAGGGCTTGAGCAGTAGCATCGAAACCCCTACCCACCCCGCTCGATGCAGCAGACAGGGCACTGTTGTTTATCCTCTACGGTCGCCAGAGCATCAAGACATTGTTTGCGAACAACTCATCCAGCAGAGTCAACGCATATAGGTGACCTACTAGAGCAGCATTCAGAGCAGTGGAGAAGTCTGCACTAATTCGGAATTTCCCATTTGTTTTCTTGACCACCACAATAGGTGCAGCCCATGAGGAGTAATTCACAGGTTTAAAGATGCGTGCCCATAGCAGTCTCTCCAATTCCTGTCCAACGCTTGGTAATGCCGCATGTGGTACTGAACGTTTGGGTCGGAAGACAGGTTTTGCATGTGTGTGGAGGGGCACTGCCTTGGTTTTCGTGCAGCAACCAAGCTCGTCCCGCAATGTCTGAGTGAATTTATGACGCAAGCGCTCTGACAAAACATTCCTAGGAGTATTGCTCAGAGACTGAACACAACTGATTGCACACGAACTTAAGTGGGACGTCCAAAAGCCCAGGTTTCGTGATCCAGTCAAGGTCCAGAAGGTTTAGATTTAGTCGTATAGAAAGCTATCACACAACACAGAATTGTACATTATTGAAAAACACAGAACACATAAGTTCACCTGTGAGTTTCAGGACTCCACCGAAAGCATTCAGCGTTGTGCAATTTTTCGGCTTTAGAGGAGGTTGACCGACCATCTTTTATGTGCTTAATGATAATGGAATAATACCAGGTGCTGTACCAAGCTGGAGACGCACAGGAGTATGGTTGATATGCACAATCATATATTTACGTCGGTGTTTTGCGTCCGAGCCGAACGTAGCCATAACAGGATTTATTTTGTATATAGATTTTGTCCGGCTTTTCTGGACTGGATAGACTGAGTCTTCGGCAGTGTTCCATTGTGTGCGCGGCAATGATTCCCTTTGTGTCTTCGTTTGCGACATTCCTGACAGCGGTACTTTTGAATGGACATAGTCGGACATAATGCCAAGCACCACATTGCCAGCAGGCTGTTAGGGGTTTGTTGAAGGTGTCGCTTCTAGAGGAATTAGTGGGCTTTGCTGGGGTGCTTTTTGTCACAGCATGCACGTTACTGGAGCCAGGGACTGCTTCTCGTCCAATCATAGCAGTATCGTGTTTCAGATTCAACAAACGGTGGCACCCTGAAATCTAGCATTTCAGGGAGCAGGAACCTACCTGCTCCATCTTACTGAGTACGCGGGTACGAATCTCTGAATCACGAGGCGATTGAAAACCAAAACCAAATACCAGACACTTGGATTGGTCTTTCGTCATTCCCTTAAGCTTGAAACGATCACACTACCGGTTAACCGTGGTCGCTTAAAACACCAAATCATCAGTCACTTTTGACAAATTTCAAATAGGAATACCGCACGTTAAAAATAGAGGACTCTTCCCCAAAGATCTCTTTCAACAGTTTAACTATTTCGTCAAATTTAAAATCCTTCGCACTATTAGGAAGAATAAAATTTACAAACCTTTCATGTTCCTTGGTCCCAAGCTTTCGAAGAATCAACCGTGATTTCCAATCATCAACGTATTAGTCAGTTCTGTCCGGAGTGTGTCTTCTGGACCAAGATTCGAATGTGCATCCGGCATCTAGATCATAGCTGAATTCTGTGATGCTTTCTGAAATCGCATCAACGGATGATTGTGTTCCGGCAGTCAAATATGGCAGGATATATATATATATATATATATATATATATATATATATATATATATATATATATATATACCGCCCCATATTTTAGCTGATGTACCATTCATGATGCGTCTGTAATGCGGTTGGTCTAAACCCGCTTCACTCAAACATTTTTTGAGCTGGATACATTTCATTCCACTTTATTTGGTTTTTTTCTTCCTGCCTGAATAATCTTCTATTAACTTTCCACTTTTTTGCGGTTATTTTCCTTAACTTTACCGCTTTTGTATCTTTTATTATGTAACGTGTGGACATTTTGTACTCATTGCGGATTGATTGCTAACCAAATTTCTTAACATGCTGGTTTAGCGGAGAATTATATCTTCCAATCCGTATGCTTTAACATATAACCTTTATTTGATAATTGTTGTTGGTTGTTGCTTAATATCCCCCGTGTGGCTGCACTTGATTTGGATGTTGACACGGTGCCTGCCTCTCTGTTACGCATTATCTCGTACATACTGGCTCCAGGAGATAGTTGTTCCTTGTTGGAGAGACTGGGTGCACGGTCCTGGTGGCCGTGCGAGGCTCTAAGAATGGTTCCATGCACTCATTGTGGAGCGGACCACGGTCTATCCATCGCCTTGTGTGCGCTTGAGTTCCAATATACAGCCTACTTGTGTTAGCCTGTGATGGAATGTGGGCCTGCTCCGTTAATGTAATGTGGCTCCCATCCACCTGCCTCCAGGTTTTCTTCCTTCGGGTCCACACTGAATATGGGATGTATGTTTGGTGCAGCGCAATCCACGTATGGTCCCTCTGTAGTCGCAGGCGTCCTGTAGCAGGCCACGGTGAGAGACAAATCCGGAACCGTGTACCGCCGACCATATATATGGAGCCGTACCTTACCCAATACGTAACTAGACAGACATTCACTTATATAAATATGATTATTGGGACATCTGAGCTTGCCAATCACCATGTCCTATGGTTCACCATGTCGATCAGGTTGATGAAATGTACCACAGAAGAACTCAACTGTCCTTATTCCTCTTCTACACGTATTGTTCGCGGCTCTTTAGTAGTACTACTTGGTTATCCCCAATCCCTTTCGCGACGTTTCACATTTGCTTATTACTATGAATAGGCTGTGTTGGCTTACCTGTTCAGCAGTCGGTGTTATAATAAGATCACCTAACAGTTTTTGATGGCGTGGTTTTACGCGAAAAACACCATTTATTATTTGATGTGCGCTACAAGATGTAATATTTTATCGCTTTAATTTGTTATTGCGTGTTCTGGTTGTTTCAACTCATAGTGGAAACGAACGAAACGTTCTTCGTCAATCGTACTTCTAGTGTGCTGAGTGGCTGATTCAATTCGGATCGGCATGGCCTAGGGGACTTATTCACCAGACGTGCGTACCTACGAGCAGAGACTGGATAAGAAGTGCATAACCTCGCATGATTGCACCGAGACCTAGCGAAAATACTGATCAATAGCATGAGTTTGTTTGCTGACTCGGCCATGGGCAAAACATATCTTACACACCTTCCTATTTCTAACACAATAGTATAGTCCCATGTCCTTCGGAGAGCTCACTTGGTTCAATGCGGCTTGAGACGATGGATACAGTAGCCTCACTGTGCAGAGCTTAGATTAAGTTTTCACAGGTTGCATTGACACAACAGTGGTTTCAATGAGAAGAATTCACTTGTTACCTGTACCGTTTGAGCCGCTGCATGTTGACAGTATAGCTGAGACAGTAATGGTTGTTTTCAATCCCTCGTCACACTAAACATGATGGAGTTGATTTCAAGACAAATCTATCCTCAGATTAACATCTTGTATTATAATCCCACTAAGGTATGGGCTCCAAAAGCCTAGCCGCTTAGTAAATGAATAATATCTAGTTCATGTTCAATACTAGTCACCGCCTTCTACACGGATTTTTAACAATTTGTGAATGAGCTGCGATTTGGTAGTCGTTGCCATACTAACGGTTATTGGTTCTGCCTTGGTGCTGGCTGCGTTTGTGCCTGCAGAACCGTTGCGACACTGTTCTCCGCTAACCTACTGCTTGACCCATAGTTATGCCGATGACGATCCTGTTCCTTTGCATCAGTAGGTAGTAGCCACTTACAGAAAATCCCATTGCTTTCGCATCATCTTTGTCTCGCAACACATCACACGTGTCTCATAGTCACCACTCACCTTGTTTACTTTTGAGTCTGTCCTAGCCGATTCATATAACCTCTAAAAACACACCTTTAGATTATTGTATATGTGGGCCTCATTGATGAGCCGTACTTCAGATTTTTAAAGAGAATGTGAGTTGAGCGAATGCATCATAAACCTGTGGTGCGGAATTTCAGAAGCCGACTTTTGTCTCTCCAGCAAGGAACAGATCGTACAATACCACTTCCGCTGCGGTGCTTACTCCACGGGAATCCTGCGCAGCCGCTTTGGACGCTTTGGAGCTGTATCGAAAGGTCAGTGAACGTTCGTATTGTTGTCATTCAACCCATTTTCCGTTGTCGTTATAAGTACGAAATCTCGCAAGGTGTCCTTCATCCCTCAGTACCACATCTTCGCTTGACTGAGAACACCGACTTGAATACCAATAAGATGGAGCCATGAAACAATGTGTCACGTGTGTTTATGTAATGAGGCATGACGAGTATAAAACTAAGAATGAGGCCAGTCACAATGGTTACTCCGCGATGAACCTTCCAGTCACAGGTCACAATGGGTTGTGTTCCCAGCATAGATATATGTTCCAGAAGTTCCACTGAATTTCACTGCTAACGTGGCTGGTTGTTATAGTCTTTTAGCACACTGTACCCCTTTAATCCCAACCAGAGCAGTACCGGCTTTTCAATCCCCCGATCTTTTCCCAATTTTGCACACTTGTCATCTGTGGTGCACGCAGCGTCCAGGTGAAGCAGTAGCTTACCTTATCTATACTGGGCATTCCTTTCCTCCGGTCCAAGTTCATACTGTCTCGGTGTTCACTAACGCACCTGAAAATCTGCTTGGTAAGCTTCATTGGAGGTCGTTTCACTGCGACGTTCGATTTGTTTTATGATCTGGAGTGGTTTGACTTTTACATCACAATTACTAAGTTCAGTATATCCTGTTAAAATATGGTTCCTTCTTGCACTTTTGAAATTCGTGAGTTGAAATGCTTGTAAGAAACAACTGGATATGTTGGATCTGGGTTAACTTCTACTTTCTGCAATTTACTGTTCGAAGTTTGTTTGCTCAGGTGTATTGAGCCTCCCTGGAAAATATGGCTTCTTAGTATGAGTTCTGCTATATACACGTGGTGTTACACCAACGTTTATGCTGCCAAATAGTTATCGACATAGTGAATGATAGCAGTTGACACGCTGGCATTAGGTAATTTGCGTGGTGTCACCTAATTTCTCATCAGGTACGATAAGACTACGATTCCTTGGATACGTTTGAAGACATTTACTTTTGAGATTTAAACTGGTGCCCAGACTTTATGGACGAATCCCGTTTACGCTTTTTATCCAGGGAAACGTGGAGAGCGGTTTTTTGGAAGAAACGACTTTCAAAATTATTCGGCTTCTAATTGCAGAACAGGTAATTCAAATTTTGCATTAATTTGCCATCATGAACTTGTATTCTTGCAGCCATTTCATCAGCGCGTTCACATATCAACTAAGCTCTTTGCAACGGTTAAGATAGCATGCTCTTCTTTTCTGTTTTGAAATATGGGACACAGCAGTAATCAGTGACATCTGTCAGGGCGTGCAAGCGTGTGTCATCCGTACACCTATTCAGCGAATCCGCCGTAGCTATAAACGTGCCATACCATGCAATAATTAACGGTGTTGTCCGCATCCCAGGATGTCCTCGCTGTTGTACATGGATACGGTTTGGGAAGCTGACTTAGTTTTATAACATAGTTCTCTGGTGCTTCCTCCCTTGATGAGAAATTGTACACTCCTACACCAAATCTATTCCTAATTTTGGGATCATTTTGAAACACTCGTGAATGGGTCGGAACATGCAATCCGAAGCTGGACGTTGATCCATTCACTTGAAACCAGGCAACGGCTAACATTTAACTTCATCCGCACTGCGAGTTGGATGATCCACGTTATGCTCAGAATCGTCCATAAGAACTCCGAGTCATTCAAGCCTGCTCAGTGATCGACTGGACTATACAATGCACAAGTGGACCCGATTGATATTCATACACCCATTAAGTTATCATTTTACCTATAGAGTCGTACGCACTTGTGATGTAGATCCAAAAACGGTAGAAAGTGAGTTTCTTAGAAAGCGGTGTAATGCTACATAGTCAGACACAGGCGAGTAGATTAGGCACTATGGCTACTACAACTGCACGAACCGGCCTCTGAACTGGTGCAATTTAAATAGTAACGAGCCTGTCTGAGTTACGTTTTCAGGACTGAAATTAACCCAGCCTTGGCCCAGAACTGCTTGCATTCATTTTGGTTAACATAAGGATTCCCAACCCATGCTTTAAGCCCATTCTACCGAGATTCTTTTTGTTTCAACTAGCAATCCGTAAAGGCGTGTGAATTAATCGATTACATGTTGCGCACCACGATGGAAGGAGAAAAAGACGAGGTAAGCCCAACGCTGTGAGTTTAATGCGTTTCGCTTAATACGATTTGAAGGCTTCTGAATTGTACGTATCTACCTTTCTCATTATGAATGTCTCTTTGCTAGTAAATAAACACTTCGCCACAAAGGAAACACCAGTGTTGTCACTCAACTGCAGTCCAAGCAGCACAATGAAGCGAGATCAACGATGAGCAGGGGCGTGTGGAACGGAAGCAGCTCTCCACCCGGTATTTGTTAGTTTTCCGATGGAGGCAACTTAGTGGTTTCTGCGCTCGCATCTCTTACTCCTTCACTGAGGTCAATACTTTGCTGGAGCCTTGTGATGATACTACTGGCGAGTTGGCCACATGGAACAGAAGTTGCGCTTCTCTCCTTGAATGGCAGTAACTTGCAGGCGTAGCTGATAACTTTTGTCATCAGCCATCATCAATATACATGTTAGCTAGAGGGGGAAAACACAGCTACTGTGCCGCAATACATAAAAAAGGGGAAAATACACGGATGCAAGCCAGCTGAGCTACCGGTAACGGATGGGCTTCATTCCGGTAAGCTGCTAGCCGGCTACTATGCAGCAAAAAAAGAAACTATGCAAAAGTATATTAACCAAAGTAGTGAGATCGTGTTTGGAGGATGAGCCTAAGAGGAATGGGGCTGGACAAAGAAACTCACAGCAAGAACGCCATTTAGGTCTACTCCTAGCCCATATCAAGAATTGTGTCCAGCCAAACGTGTTCCTCGTCTTTCGGATCCCAACCAGGAAGCCGAGACGCTCCAACTGAGGCCAGCTTCGAAGTGATGGCCTTCATTCCTCACGACAAAGTCTTCGCTTGTTCACCCCTCCTCTTCTCCATCCAGACCCCCGGCGAGCAAACAACGCACCTCGCGATAATCGGTGGGCTGGCATACGCAACACATGGATCAGCCATCAGAGTCTGGTGCGTGGGGGGAGGGTGGGGGGGGGGGGGGGGGGGGGGGGGGGGGGGGGGGAGGGGGGTGGGGGCGGGGGGGGTGGGGGGGGGGGGGAGGGGGGGGGGGGAGGGGGGGGGGGGAGGGGGGGGGGGGGGGGGGGGGGGGGGGTGGGGGGGTGGGGGGGGGGGGGGGGGGGGGGGGGGGGGGGCGGGGGGGGGGGGGGGGGGGTGGCGGGGGGGGGGGGGGGGGGGGGGGGGGGGGGGTGGGGGGGGGGGGGGAGGGGGGGGGGGGGGGCGGGGGGGGGGGGGGGGGGGGGGGGGGGGGGGGGGGGGGGGGGGGGGGGGGGGGGGGGGGTGGGGGGGGGGGGGGGAGCTGGGGGGGGCGGGGGGGGGGGGGGGGGGGCGGGGGGCGGGGGGGTGGAAGGGGGGGGGGGGGGGGGCGGGGGGGGGGGTGCGGGGGGGGGGGGCGGGGGGGGGGGGATGGGGGGGGGGTGGGGGGGGCGGGGGCGGGGGGGGGGGGGAGGGGGTGGGGGGGGGGGGGGGGGGGGGGGGCGGGGGGGGGGGGGGGGGGGGGGGGGGGGGGGGGGGGGTGGGGGGGGGGGGGGGTGGGGGGGGGGGGGGGGGGGGGGGGGGGGGGGGGTGGGGGGGGGGGGGGAGCGCGGGGGGGGGCGGGGGGGGGGGGGGGGCGGGGTGGGGGGGGGGGGGGGGGGGGGGTGGGGGGGGGGGGAGGGGGGGGGGGGGGGGGGGGGGGGGGGGGGGCGGGGGGGGGGGGGGTGGGGGGGGCGGGTGGGGGGGGGGGGGGGGGTGGGGGGGGGTGGGTCAGGGGAGGGGGGGGGGGGGGTGGGGGGGGGGTGGGGGCGCCGGGGGGTGGGGGGGGGTGGGGGGGGGGGGGATGGGGGGGGGGGGGGTGGGGGGGGGGGGGGAGGGGGTGGGGGGGGGGTGGGGGGGGAGGGGGGGGGGGGGGGGGGGGGGGGGGGAGGGGGGGGGGGGTGGGGGGGGGGGGGGGGGTGGGGGGGGGGGGGGGGTGGGGGGGGGGGGGGGCGGTGGGGGGGGGGGGGGGGGGCGGGGGGGGGGGGGGGGGGGGGGGGGGGGGGGGGTGGGGGGGGGGGGTGGGGGGGGGGGGGGGGGGGGGGGGGGGGGGGCGGGGGGGGGGGGGGGGGGGTGGGGGGGGGGGGGGGGGGAGGGTGGGGGGGGGGGGGGGGGGGGGGGGGGGGGGGGGGGGGGGGGGGGGGGGGGGGGGGGGGGGGGGGGGGGGGGGGGGGGGGGGGGGGGGGGGGGGGGGGGGGGGGGGGGGGGGTGGGGGGGGGGGGGGGGGGGGGGGTGGGGGGGGGGGGGGGGGGGGGGGGGGGGGGGGGGGGGGGGGGGGGGGGGGGGGGGGGGGGTAGGGGGTGGGGGGGGGGGGGGGGGGGGGGTGGGGGGGGGGGGGGGGGGGGGGGGGGGGTGGGGGGGGGCGGGGGCGGGGGGGTGGGGGGGTGGGGGGGGGGGGGGGGTGGGGGTGGGGGGGGGTGTGGGGGGGGGGGGTGGGGGGGGGGTGGGGGGGGGGGGGGGGGGGGGGGGGGGGGGGGGGGGTGGTTTGGGGGGGGGGGGGGGGGGGGGGGGGGGGGGGGGGGGGGGGGGGGGGGGGGGGGGTGGGGGGGGGGGGGGGGGGGGGGGGGGGGGGGGGGGGGGGGGGGGGGGGGGGGGTGGGGGGGGGGGGGGGGGGGTGGGGGGGGGGGGGGGGGGGTGGGGGGGGGGGGGGGGGGGGGGGGGGGGGGGGGGGGGGGGGGGGGGGGGGGTGGGGGGGGGGGGGGGGGGGGGGGGGGGGGGGGGGGGGTGGGGGGGGGGGGGGGGGGGGGGGGGGGGGGGTGGGGGGGGGGGGGGGGGGGGGTGGGGGGGGGGGGGGGGGGGGGGGGGGGGGGGGGGGGGGGGGGGGGGGGGGGGGGGGGGGGGGGGGAGGGGGGGGGGGGGGGGGGGGGGGGGGGGGGGGGGGGGGGGGGGGGGGGGGGGGAGGGGGGGGGGGGGGGGGGGGGTGGGGGGGGGGGGGGGGGGGGGGGGTGGGGGGGGGGGGGGGGGGGGGGGGGGGGTGGGGGGGGGGGGGGGGGGGGGGGGGGGGGGGGGTGGGGGGGGGGGGGGGGGGGGGGGGGGGGGGGGGGGGGGGGGGCGGGGGGGGGGGGGGGGGGGGGGGGGGGGGGGGGGGGGGGGGGGGGGGGGGGGGGGGGGGGGGGGGGGCGGGGGGGGGGGGGGGGGGGGGGGGGTGGGGGGGGGGGGGGGGGGGGGGGGGGGGGGGGTGGGGGGGGGGGGGGGGGGCGGGGGGGGGGGGGGGGGGGGGGGGGGGGGGGGGGAGGGGGGGGGGGGGGGGGGGGGGGGGGGGGGGGGGGGGGGGGGGGGGGGGGGGGGGGGGGGGTGGGGGTTGGGGGGGGGGGGGCGGGGGGGGGGGGGGGGGGAGGGGGGGGTGGGGGGGGGGGTGGGGGGCGGGGGGGGGGGGGGGGGGGGGGGGGGGGGGGGGGGGGGGGGGGGGGGGGTGGGGGGGGGGGGGGGGGGTGGGGGGGGGGGGGGGGGGAGGGGGGGGGGGGGGGGGGGGGGAGGGGTGGGGGGGGGGGGGGGGGGGGGGGGGGGGGGGGGGGGGGGGGGGGGGGGGGGGGGGGGGGGGGGGGGGGGGGGGGGGTGGGGGGGGGGGGGGGGGGGGTGGGGGGGGGGGGGGGTATCAGATAGGTGGCATTGATGGGTAGGGCTGGGGGGCGGTGGGGTATTTCAGGCGGGGGTGGTGGGGGGGGGGAGGGGGGGGGGGGGGGTGGGTGGGGGGGAGGGGGGGGGGGGGTGGGAGGGGGGGGGTGTGAGGTGTGTGGAGGGGGTTCGGGGCGTGGGTGTGCTTGGGGGGGTGGGTAGGCATATCTGGGGGGGGTTGGAGTTGGGGATGGGGTGGGGGGGGGGGGTTGGGGGGTGGATTTAGTGGGGGATGGGGCGGGTAGGGGGTGTGCCGGGTGTTTGTATTATGTTGGCTTATGGATGGGGGGGGGGGGGTGTCGGAGGGGAGCGGGGGGGGGGTGGGTTGGGGGTAGGGGGGAGATTAAACACGACGTAGGTGGGGTGTAGGGGTGTTGGGGGGGAGGCGCGTGGGGGTGCCGAGAGGGGCGGGGGGGTGTGTTGATATTTTTAAACCAATGAAATCCCGACTTAAGCAACATAGGGCGGGGGGAGAGACTGGCTGGGGTGGGGGGGGGAGCCGGGATACACATATTCCACTTCTCGGGGGAGCCCAACGTGGGGGAGCCGGCGACGGGGAGGGGGTCAGGGGGGGGGGGGTGGCGTAATTATTTCAAAAACTCGTAGGGGAAGGGTGGGGGGGAGAGGGGGGGCGGCTGGGAGGGCGGGGGGGGGAGGTCGCCTCTAGACATACAGGAGGGATCAGGTCGGGGGTGAGGGCGGGGTGTGGACCATACGCTACCAACCACGCATATTGCGTGGTGGGGGGGGGTGGTCACTGCCAGCCAAGGGGGTGAGGAGGGGGGGGGGGGAAGGGGGGGGGGGGGGGGCCGGGGGATAATGAAAAATAAAGTACACTAGACATGCATCCATCTCAGGGGGGGGGTGGGGTGGTGGGGGGGGAGAGGAGGTTCTACCATCTTGGCGTTTCCGAACTTGGGGGGGTGTCACGGGGGGATGAGGGGGGGGGCGTGGGGGGCGGAATTATATATACCCTTTGTGTGATGGTCGCGGGGGGGGAGAGTAGGGGGGGGGGGGGGCGTAGACCTAAGGTGGGGAGGGGGGGAGGGGGAAAATACGCTAATATAAATAATAACCTGCGAGGGGGGGGGAGGGAGGGGGAGGAGGGGGGTCGGGGGGGTTTGCAAATCTTAAAGGGGGGCAAGGGAAGGGCCTATAATCCTAAACAATTCACCCATTTCACTAATTTGGGGGTGGCGGGTAGGCGTGTGGAGGTGGGGGCAAATTCCAACTCACTCTTCAGGAGCGAGCGGGCATGAGCAACGGGTCGGGGAGGCGTGCGGGGGGGGGATGGGGGGAATGGGGGGGGGGGGGGACGCGGGGGGCTGGGGGTGAAGGGGGGATTGGGGTATGGGGGGAATTTTCGGAGAGGGGGGGGGGGAGGGGGTTGGTTAGAGGAAGGTGCAACTACTTTTTGGGGGATAATCCCAAGAATTGGCGCGGTGGGGGAGGGAGAGGGGGGCGGGGGAGGGGCAGGGGGGGGGCGGTTAGTTATTTTTTGGGGTGGAGGGGGAAGGCCCGGGGGGGGGAGGGGCGGGTGGGGGGGGGGGGGGGGGGGGGGGGGGGAGGGGGGGGGGTTCGGCAGCTTAAAAATTCTGGCGGGCAGGGGGGGGCGTGGCGCAGGGGTTTTCTACCCTTAAGGCGTGGGCCGGAATTGTCGGGTTAGTAATTTTGTAATGTATACGAGGGGGGGATGGGTGGGGGAGGGGTGGAGGGGTCCATATTAAAGGGGGGGGGGGGGCGGGGGGGGGGGGGTGAGGGAGTGAGACCATTTAGTCATAGGGGCGTTGGGGTGTGGGGGGGGGGTTGGGGTGTGGGGGTGGGGGATGGGGGGGGGGGGAGCGGAGGGGGTTGGGGGGGGGGGGGAAAAAATAATTTATATACATAAATTGGTGGGGGGGGGGGGGGGGGGGGGGGTGGGGGGGGGGGGGGGGGAGGACATTCGTTTTTTAATATCCCATGAACCATTCCCAACTGGGGGGGGGGAGACCTGGGGGGGGTTCCTTTGTTATTTAGCTAAGTTAATAGGCGGAGCGTGGGGGGGGGGGTGGGGGTGGCTTCCATTTCGAAAGAATTCATATGCTAAAAGTTACGAATAACGGGAAGGGAGGGGGGGGGTGGGGTTAAGTAAAAGTCAATTAAAATAGGGGGGGGGGGGGGGGGGGGGGGCGGGGGGGGGGGGGAAGATTGAGGCGGGGGGGGTGGGGGGGAGTGGGGGGGCTTATACTGGGGGGAGGAGGGGGCGGGGGCTGGACAAACAATCTCACTACTATGTAAAAGGTGGTATGGGGTGGGGCATTTTTATTTTGGGTTTTAGTGTTTGGTGGGAGTGGGGGGCGGGGGACGTGGGGAGCGGGGGGCGGGGGAGGGAGGGGTGGGGGGGGGGGGAGGGAAAAAATTATATCGAATTTTGCATTTATCACCACTACCAGGGCTAAGGGGGGGTGGGGGGGGGGGGGATGGGTGGGGGGAGGGGGAGGGAAAGGGGGATGGGCGGGTATCAGTAGTTACGATAACACCAACTAACATGGGCGGGGTTGGGATGCGGGTGGGGGGGGGGGGCGGGCAATAAATAAATCTGATTTGCGGGGGGGGCCGGGTGGGGTCGAGGAGGGGGGGGGGAAGGTGGAGAGGTGGCCCTTAATAGCCAACCGGGAGGGGGGTGGGGGGCGGTGGGGGGGTGGTTGGGGGGGTGGTAAAAATTTACATGAAAACAATACATATACCCGGGGGGGATGGGGGTTGAGTGGGGGGGGCAAACCTCACCAAAAATAAAATGGGGGGGAGGGGGGGGGGCGGGGGGGGGTGGAGGCAAGGAGGGGGGTTGGGGGATCCGCAAAATACGGCAATCTTCCTTTGTGGGGGGCGGGAGGGAAGGTCGGGGGGGGTAGGGGTCGGGGGGGGGGTCTGGGGGGGGGAGGAGGGGGGGGGGGGGCGGGGAGGACGGGGAGGCGGCGGGAGGGGTAATAGGGGGCAGGGCGGAAAGGGGGGGAATTGGTATTTTGCAAACATCCACCAACACACGAACCCCCCAACAACATTTTTTTTCCTTTTTCTCATTCTACCCTTTCTCCTTTTCCCCTCCACTTTTTTTTTGCTTGTTTTTTTTCTTTTGTTAAGTACTTTTGGACAGATCTTGTCAATTCCCGGCGCACTATTTTCCCTGAGCGACTGTAATTTCTTTGCCACATATGTAGGGCTAAAGTTGACCGTGGATAAGCCGACGACATTTGCTGGGATGTAGCAAGGCGATGGTTCCATGGTGTGTCTAGTCACTGAAACAAACTGCATGAGCAATGCGTCCGCGGTCTTCTCTTCAGTAACCGTTAGGCCATTGACCGTCTCTAGTGGTGGTATTCCCGTCTTAACCTTCCTTTTGTCATTCACATACCGGTAGAGCAGTTTGTGATTGCTAGTAAATTTGCGTACCCTAGTTTCCTGCCATTCGTACTTGTCAGCTTTAAGGAGTGAAGTGCAGTAGTTTCTGACTGTTTTGTACTGATTCCACGTGATATCACTTGGACCTAACAAATAACCCCTCCAAGCCTCGTCTCGCCTATTCAACCACTTACGTATTCTACTCCGGATCCAGTTGTTGCTCCGTCGCGAAACTCGTAATGGTACGTCTTTTGAAGCTGATTGCAGGACCCAGTTTATCTTGCCTTTCAACACTTGCCAGGCATCATTCGCCGAAGTGTGCATCTGGAGGTCCCAGTCAACGGTTGTCGCTATAGTGTGAAGCTTGGAATAGTTGGTGATGAATCGTCGGGTTTCTGGTTCTTTGTCAACCATACTGGCATGACACACATAATCAAACGTTAGAACTGAATGATCGCTACAACCTAGCGGGGGGTTGTATGAAACCGACTCAACCATTAACTCCTCATTAGTCAGGATTAAATCAAGTATTGAAGGCTTGTTTGAACCGCGGTGTCTGGTTGGTTGATCCACATGGTTATACAAAACTGCCATAGTCAAGAACTCAAGGAGTTTTGATATGAAGCATGGCCCACTTGGGAACACAGATACTATTGACGGTACATTGAAGTCACCCATTATTGGGTAGTGTGAGTACTTTTTCGACATAGCATATTGGAGAGCATTTAACAGAATATCATCGCTGTCGGCGGAGGAGTTCGGCGGCCTGTAGACAACTGCTATGAGGCAAGCATCATGTATCTTCTTCTGAGTGCAACCGTCGGGACCGGATAGCTGCAGCCGGCAAAATAAAGCGTCGGGGATAATAAGGGAATGCTCAGTGAGAGCTTCACATTTCAGGTGATCTCGGTAGTAGATAGCAACGGCACCACCGCGAGATGGACGATCATTTCGAATGACTGACATTTCACTAAGTTCAATTTCTGGATACAAAATCTCGTTTGAGAGCCAGGTTTCAGTTAATGCTTTGATGTCCCAAGTTGCTGCTTCATGCCGATGGCGCAATTCCGGCAACTTGGAGTAAAGCCCTTGGGCGTTTGTGTAGCAGCATTGCATTTGTTGCCGCATTAGGACGCCGGTTCGCTGTGTTTGATCGGCACAAACAGAGCCGGTCTGTCCACGTTTTTTGACACGAGTGTTTGCACGCTTGGCTGGTCTATGGTCGGAAAAGCCAGGTCTGACTCAACTGTACCAGTGGTCTGTACTGCTTGCAGGAATGGTCTCAGTCGTACTTCTGGTGGTCCTAGCCTTCTGCTGTGGTACCACACGTTAATTGCCATTGATGCCATCTCCGGCGTAGCCAAGGTAACTTTCAAAATTTTCGGCCCGCTCCCTTGATAGTTTGGGGAGTAAGCTAAGCGGCTGACGTCGAATGCCACAACATTCTGCATGCCATAGAGTTCTGTGATGTAGCGCCACTCATAAATATCGTGCTTTTGTCTTTCACTGGTGTCACCATGTTTCAGTTCGGGCACACCATGAACCAACACCACTTTCTTCATTACATTTTGACGAGACGCGGTTGGGTCGGATTTTCGCTTTTGTTTTTCCTTCCATGGCATGTCTGGAAAAATGCGGGCACTGAGAGAAGAGTTCGGTAGACTGTGGCTTGCTAAGAGAACATCCTCCAATTCCTTTGTGTTGCCAGATGTTACTCGCAGTAACCGAGGTTCCCCTACTTGAGGAGACTATGGGTTTCGTGACAGACGTGTAAGACTAGTTGGGAGAACGTTTAGTCCTAGTGCGCAGCTTATCTCAGTTCAGCGATTTTGCTCTTCGGCTTGTCGACCTTTTAACGACTCGCTGGTGGGTTCTGGTACGTTTGAACATATGACTGTCATCGCTTGTTGGTTGCGTAGTAATTTAGTTTGTTGGAGTTCTTTTTGGGTGGAGGTTTGTCGTGTGGGAGTGTTGATCTTGTCTTGTGGGGAAGACAAGTCAAGGCTGCAGCAAGAATTCTCCTGTGCAACGACGTTATTCACACAGTTTGTAATGTGCTGCCCAGCTAATAGCGATGATCGTGCAATTTGTGCATAACTCTTTACGCCTTGCGGTACAACAGAGGATTTTATAGAATTTTCAACTGGCTTGGCATCACAGTTGTTTATCGCTAATGGTGCTTGTTTTTCGCCGGAACGGGTAACATTTTTAATGGATAACTTTGGTCTTTTGGTAGGTCTGGGGTTAGGGCTGCTTAATACACTAAGCTGGAACTCGAGTTCAGCGATTTTCCCTCCCAAAGCCTTGACCAATTCTTTCTGTTCGGATGACGCAACAGCCAACATTTCACACCTCGCGTTGAAAGTTGGGATAATCTTGGCTATTGGGCTATCTGAACACGCATCACAGAACCACAAACTATTTGTTATTACGCTGCGGTTTCCGCCAAGTTCTGAGTTCACGTCCACTTCGTCGTAAGAATTTGCACACAAAGAGCACGTGATTTTTGTGATGACACTTCTCCGCTTACTTGAGCCATGATTGGCCTTCGTTGTTTTGTTCACGCGTGGACCAGCTGATAAACTTCGCCTTCCCATGGCTTAATGACTCGTATGCACTTTAAATCACGCCGGTCACACCGTTGTGAGCTGCGTGAATTGACTAGTCCGCCTAGCGGTAACCGTCGCTGTCCGGGTTTGGTGGTGAAGGGTCCTGGCGCAAGCGTGTATGGAATCACAAACACTTCGTGTGGTAGGGTGCACGAAGGAATATAGATGAAAGGACAAAATAGCCAGTATCTATGGTGTATGGTGGTGCACAGTACTAAGCTGTATGTCACCTGATAGCTTTAGAGAAGCTCTGTAGAATGGTTTCTTAAATTCACTGAGATTACCTTGAAAAAACAAGCTTTCAAGCGTGGTTCTTAATTTACGAATTGCCGAAGACGCCGGTTGGGATGAAATAGCGAGACGAAGGACTTACTGCGCAAATATAAATCCCGTTCGATAGAACTCGGCGAGCCGAAACGAATGGGCGTATTTCCGAGAATGTAGCACGAAAAATGTACGGAATAATCCAGGATTACCACAGAGCACAGGATTATGCGACCGTCCGTGACCTTGAAGTGCGGTGATGACCAATAGATCATATTCTCATACGTTGCACGTGACGTGCTTCCATCCTGTATTGTATCTAGCTCTAGAGTACTTGCGTCGTCCGATCACGCTTCAAACGCTATCGTTATTTTTTCATGAACCTTAAGGGTATGCGGGTATTCTCCGAAATGGCTGATTTGGTTGCAAATGTTTCATCGTCAGGCTAGACGATATCATCAGTAAGATTTATGCGGGTCACTTACAGATCCAAGTGGTTATTGATCACTTGCTGATTCCATCGTCAATAGTCGATTTTTCACCGTGAGCTGACCGTGTAGTCAGCTTTTGCGTACTGTTTGCTAGAGTCCGCCTCAATAACGTCCCTTTGTCCTGTTGATCTGGATCGGAGTATTGGTTTGACCCTCAGCGCTTCATAGGCAATATCCAGATCTAAGTAGCTGTTGATCGAGTTCTCCCCCCAGTACCAAGCCTCAATGAACTCGCGTGCTTTTCGGCTTTTTGCCCTGCCTATGATCCTGACATTCTCCAAATCAAACTGATGATTCTCGGCGTCCATATGTACCGACATCAGGGAGTTCTGGTCATGTAGGCGGATGGCTAGGCTATGCTCATGTAGCCTAGTGCGGACCTTCCTTCCTGTCTGGCCCACATAGTATTTCTACAACTTTTGCGGTTGGATTTTGTAAATCACACCACTTGTTTCTTCCTTGCCAAGCCGGTCTTTACCATTGAAGAGCTTGTATCGAATAGCTTCTGTCGGCTTGTGAGCAAGTGATCCCGAAC